CGGGCAATGGAGGACCTGGCCGCATCCTGGGTGCCAAGACTAGGCTCACTTGCCGTCCAAGGCCCTCTTGACCTTGTGGTTTTCGATTCCGTCCAGGTTCCAAAGGGCTTGACCTTTGGTTCCCGTTTTCCTTCAGACGCGTTGGGATTCCAACGCCAACATGGGTGCCTGGGCCCCGAGGGGAAGACATGGGCACTGGGATCGTCAGATGAGCAAAAGTGATGTGTCACGGTGCCAGGCCGTCTCGGGCGTCTTTGTCTCACTGCCCCAGTTTCTGACATGGGCTGGAAATATCACAATAATCACATATCTGCGTGAAGCAACTGAAGCAACAGCTCAAACGTTGGCTTCAGAGTTTCGCAGCTTACACTTTTTGAGTGAACCATGTGAACCCTTTAGCTGTGAACCATGTGAACCAGTGAGCCATGTGAACCATGTAGTCATGGCAACCCAAAAGGTGATCACCTAGTCTCGGTTGCTTTCTGCTCCCCTGCTAAAAGTTTTACTTTTAGTGGTTTAACACGGAAAACCCATTAGTTGGCAAAAAGTTAAAGGCCTAACATCCCTTGGCAAAATGCACCAAAGTTGCAGGTCCCTAAGGGGCAACTGAGAATTGGCTCTCAGCTTTCCGGAGTCGCTGAATTCGCCTCGGATCGATGGATCGAGTTCCATTGGCCCCTCGAGGCTTGGGCTCGATCCGGCTCGCTGGCCACGAAAGATCGTACCTGCTTGACTGCTATTGGGTTGGATCTTTAGACTTTACTTCACTGTTCTTGGCATGTGTTTTCTTTGTTTTTAATATATATATATATAGCAACAAAAAGGTGTTTGGTTCTGTTCACTTTTTCTGGGGGTCTGCAAAACATAAAGTTTTCGCTACCAAACCAAGAGTAGAGATGTTTAACTTTTCGGTTGAAATCAAGTTGGGATTTCCACTAAACCCGCGAAAAGTGGTCCACTTTTTTGCAGCGGGGTCGTTGCAGCAACCAAGCCTGAACGGAATTGAAGCAGGCGAGCCCCGTGAATGATCTTCATGTTAAGCATCTGTTTGGTGTCCCCACCCACTCCACCTGGTACTTATTGAAAAAACATGGAGTGTGCTCTGGTCAGCATCCATGTGCCCAAATTGCAGGTGCAAAGAGAAGGCCTGTGGCTTCTAGCAGGGTTGCAGCGAGATTGATTTCATGAGTATGCAAGTGGTCCAACATCTGGGAGTTCTGCTGAATTCCGCAGTACTTTTTAGTCGTGTGCGTGGCCGGATTCCAACAACCAGATCGCATGTTTGCCTCTCTGAGTTTGTTTCCCTCCATACAGTGGGGGACACGTGGCAAGTGGTGATCGTGCTTGCAGTGCGGAAGGGGTGTTGTCACTCCTTGGCTGAGACGGCCCTCACGGGAAGAAAGCGCCCCAAGTCGCAGAGAAACTTCAGAGATGCAGCTCGCGCCCCTTGCACCTGGGGGATTGGGGTGCTAGGGGTAGATCCAAGCTGCCAGGTTTCCCGCGCTCACCAACGGCGAAGTCGAGTTGTTGTTCTTTTGGGCTTGGGGAGTTGGAAGCCAACCAGGGGGGGCAGCATGGCACATCAGGCTCCAGGCAGTTGTTCGAACGGTGACGAAGGAGAGCGCGCCCTGCGTCCTTTGCCGGTGGCACTGGGAAAGGTGAACTCTTTACCGGGCCTTCTAGAAGGACAAGCTCAACAGGACGAACTCCACTTCGCACCATTCAGCAACCTAAGGGAAGGGTCAGATTTCCCCTGCAAATTCCCAACAAAGGACGGTTTCAACCATGGTTTCGAAGCGGTGCGAACGGATCTCGTCCATGAAAGTCAGCCCCCTGGGCCCCCAATTTGGAATGCCTAGCAACTGGCCCAAGGGTCTGAATCATGGCACCCCAGAAGACAAAACCGCAGTGCCCAGGTGTTGAAACCCTGAGGCAGAAGCCAACCAAAAAGCACAACTAGGTCCCCCAGCAGTGCCCTTTTACCAACTTTTTTTTAAAGGGGGTCCGCTAGTAAGATTGACTGCAGAAAAAAGTTGGTACCCTTATTCTAACCTCTCGACTGGAGGACCTAGAAATGTTGCCAAAAAAGTGCCAAAGAACGCACAGGGCTTAGGGCTTAAGGTACGTCAAGGCGCATCTCCGGTGGCTTCGGGGTCTGATCGCGCGAAACTTGGGGACTATAGCGCAAGAGGTGGAGAGTCCTCAGCTGTTCAAAGCGAATCGACCTGTTGACCTTTTGGAATTCCCACATCATGGGTCCAAAAGGTGAACCTTGTCTTTCTGGGTCGCTTGGGAAACTGGGTGTCACTTTGGCAACTTTGGATCAGCACCGGATGCAACCCAGAGCAATCCTCCAAATGAGCCAGCATGAACTCATTCACAAGAAGCAGGGGCCCCGGAAAATATAGCTTCGTTCGTCTCCGGATGGCTCTGAAGTTGACAAGCATCCATGTGCCGCGTCCGTTCCGTACGCAGGGCTCAGGGCACAGACGAGAGCCCTGGCAGCCGGGGCCTTTGATGGGACTGGGCCACTCGAAGACCAGGCCAAACATGTTAAAAAGGCCAGGCCCCCCAGCTAGGTGCCTTTCTCACCGTAACTTTTTTGGTTGGGAGGGCAAGCCCCTACTAAAATGGACTACGCAAAAAAGGGCACCCTTATTCTAACCTCTCTACTGGAGGACCTAGAATGGCAGATTCGAGAAACACTACCAAAAATCACGATCAAGAAGTTCGCATGTAAAGGTTAGTAAGGGAAGAGCCCTGCCGTAAATAGGTGCCGCAAGCCGCCCTTATTTGTTTACATAGGGCTGGGTATAGACTACTCTTAGTACCAGGTTTTGATCGTGCAAGGTGAGGTGAAAAGTCCTTTTGATTTAATGAGCTCATTTTGACTGAGGCAACCCAGCCCTCTATTTTTTTTTTGTCGGTGGAGTTCCCCACAAAAAAAAGCACACCGTTAATTGGTTTCTACCAGCCACCAGGCAATCAGAGTTCGAGCTGCAGACAAAACCCCTATATAAGCCCAAGTTCGGCAAGACCATTCGATTCAATACATGACTATTGGTAGGCCCCTTTGTTGCCAGGTTTAGAGTGTGACCCACCTGGGTTGCTAAAATTGAGGTTGCGTTTTGTGCAAAGGGCTGTCCCGGGTTTGCCCTCGCCAGTTGGCAAACTGCAACATGTTTAACTTTTAGTGGATCCATTTGCTGGTTACACACCAATTGGGCATCGTCCAAAAAATCCAAAAGGGAAGTTGCAGCAGGTGGTGCAGAAGTTTGACTCTAGAACCAGTTCGGAACAAAAGTCAATGGGGCTTCGCTGCTCAAGACAGTACTTTGGGAGCATAGCTCCAGGGGTAGTTCGCTTCTTTCCGCGGATGGGCAACATTGCGCACCTGGGATGGGGACATGGACTCAGACTGGGCCCCGCGGCTCAGGACGCTGCGCAAGGTCGCCTTGGAGGAGCAAGTGGAGGCAGATGGCTGTGGTGGTCAAAACCGTTTTGGGATACCCCATTTGGTTGGTAGTTGAATTCACCACCCACTGTAGAACCTATTTTACGGGGGATTGGGATGGATTTCGACCCATGGCCAGATCTTTGGGAGCAAGTGGGGGAGCAAGTGGAGGAGAGAGAAGCCAAAAGCCCAAAAGCACACAAGGGTTTGGTGAAGGCTGGCAGCCCCAGAGAGCCCAAAGCCCCAAACTGGGGTAGAACATCGTGTTTTCCGGGCTGACTTTGCTTCACCGATTGCGGGGTACATGGAGCGGTTTATCCTATTTTTGCGCAGCAGGTTGGCCCAGTTGGCGATGTGCAGCGTGCAGAATGCCCAAAGGGGGACATGCTTTCTTGAACAGAAAAGCAATAGTTGATCGCACATGGGTGGGGATGGTTTCACGAACATACGGGCGTGTGTTTTGTTGAGGGTGCCATAGGGTACCTTTTTTTGTGGTGTGAAAAGGAAGTACCTACAAGATAACCTCTTCTTTTTTATTTGTCGTTTTCGGGCGGGACAGTTCCATTCATAAAACGTCCACGAGCCAGCGCGCTCCCATGTGCAAATCGGGTTTGACGCAGCTGAAGATTTCGTAGCTGTTTGGTGCTTCTCTCTCTCTCTTTTTTGGAGTGGGTTTCCTTGAATCATCCAACGAACATGGGCTGTTTCCGTTTAGCCATGCCACCGGACAAGTACAAGGCTGCCGGACGCCACTTCGGAGATCTGCGGAGTGCCAGTTGCAAACGCAGCCACTGGCTGGGTTCCTGGACTTGAGACCTGTGGCAAATGATCAATGATCGCGCAGCCAGTGTTTGGTTCGGTTTAAGCTCGTGTTTTCTAGAAGATGGTCTGCTGGTATATATGGGTCTTCCTGTAGATGTGGGTTATAAGTTATAAGGGGATGACTCCATGGTTGGTGTTGGGAAACATGTTTCCAATTTTTGCCTATTGTGGTTTAGTGGTTGAAATCCAAGTCCACTTAACTGCTAAAAACAGAGAATTGTTGCTCCCCTTCCAACGTCAACCAAGATGATAGTGGTACACAACAAGTTCACACTTTGTCCGACTTAGGAAGTTAGAAGAGGTGCGCATAGGGACATGTGCAAGTTCCTGACGCAAGAGTCTGCTTGGGGTAAGCAATCACGCAGTTGTGACTTCTGTACTAATTAGACGTTCGCTGTTGGACTGCATGATCTTCGTGGGGAGGCTTTGGGACTTCCATTCAGACGCCCTCCAGGTTTCAAAGCAGGTGCCAGCACGAGCACCTGGCTCACAGCGAGACATGTGATGAATCCGGCTCCAAACAGACAAACACCCGAGCACTTGCCAGAGAGCGTCCATCAGATCTCATTTGAGATATTCATTCGCACCATTTGCTGAGGGATATGTTGCATCCAAGAGAGGCATGAAAGAGCTTTCACACCTATGGCGTCCATGGGCGAACTTTCAGATGATTTTGGGAAACCTGGCCTAACCTTCAGATGATCTTGGGAAACCTGGCCTGAGATGGGGATTTCTCTTGAGACAAATAGCAAAGCCAACTTCTCCCCGGAGCCATGTCTCGCCTCAGCGTGAGTGAGGGGGTTGCGACCATCACCTTGTGCCGCGAAAAGGCGAGGTTAGGGAGCCGCGGCTCCCTATGATTTCCCCTTCCAGCTCCCCCAGTAGTGCCCTTTTACCGTTTCGTTTTTTGCGGGAGGGTCTCACTGCTAAAATTGAGTATAGGAGAAAGGGTACCCTTATTCTCACCTTTTTACTGGAGGACCTAGTGTTAGATTGCTCGGTTGAAAAACACAAACAGACATCCAGGCGGGAACTGGGAGCCCCTTGTCTTCTATGGCGGAGTGAGGCGTGTTTCTGGTTTGACCCCCTGGAAACATTGAAACACATGTCGTGTTTGAGTCGTGCCGTCAATGCAGACGGAAAGCTTGGAGGGTACAGAACTCTTGTCAAGGTTGGTTGAAAGGGAAACCAACAAGGACAAAGGAACAACCCCATCCGAACCCCCCACCCCCCCAAGACCTAACCCCCCCCTCCCTCCCTTTTGCCATTTTCACCCAAACCCATCTATGCGCTCCCCACCCGCTGCAAAAAAAAAAAAAAAAAGCGGGGGGCCAGCGGAGAGCGTTTGGCCTGTGTCCGATGTCGACGCTTGAAGGAGACCCCCAGGCGAAGGGTAGCTGAACGCGGTTTGCTTCCAGGCCCCTCGTTTCTCGTATACAACATCTCAGCTTTTTCGGGCGTTTCTCCTTTGGTCCCTTTACCACAGTTTGGCCCAGTGGCCGTGGCCAGGCTACCAAAGTTGCACTCTTTGCAAGCATGCGGGGAGGGGAGGGGGCGGAGGAGGGGCGCGGTATTTCCGGGCCAGGAGAAGAACTCCATCTCCGGCGAGCTGCTGAACAGCCTGGGGGATCAACTCAAGGAGTGTATGGAGGAGCGGCTGAAAGATCTGTACGACTCAACTGGCGATCGGTGCGAGAGATGCAGGGAATGAGAAACGGAATGACCCCAAAAAACCATCCCTTAAGTGGAATTCCCGATTCATTATGCTTTCCTTTAAGGGAATCCCCAGGTTCATTCCCACATTCCCTACTGAGCACCAGCCGCCAGGCGGTGGCGTTTTTCTTGCCCCTGCTGCTTTGGGAAGGGAAGTTGGCTCTTGGAAAAGGCAATTGGTGCAAAGGAATTCCCAGGTATCTTCTTGTTTTGTGTGTGTGTGTTTTTTGTTTGTTTGTTTTTTGTTTGTTTTTATCCATGGTCACTGGAGGTGCGAGTTGGAAACGTGCATGCCGCCTCGCAGTGTGGAAGCCAACTGTGGGAAGAGGTGTAGAAGCGAGGGACTGGAGCCGTCAGTTCTGCACCCGGGATGGGGCTTTCTTAGGTGTGATATACATGGTTGTCGTTGGGAAACATATTTTTTTCATTTTTGCTTATTGTGGTTTAGTGGTGGAACCAACCACTTAATTGCTGTATAGGGGCTTTCTGTGAGTCGCTGGTCTGGTTAATTGTTAATGGGACACGTAGTGAGTTCCCGGTTTCGTCCCTTCCAACTAGACCTTTGGTGCATTTTGCCAAGGGATGTTAGGACTTTAGCTTTTTGCCGACCAATGGGTTTTCCGTATGAAACCCACTAAAAGTTAAACTTTTAGTAGCAGGGGAGCAGAAAGCAACCGACAGACTGCACACAGGGACAAAATCAGACAGAACTTCATACTTGTTGGTGCTCAAACGCCCGAGATACAGCAGAGACCTGGAAGTGTAGTCTCGCCCTTTGCGAGCGGACGGGTCCGTGTACGACTCTACCTGCAAGGGTTGAGCCAGCTGCCATACAATTTCCTTGGTGCCTTTTTGACTGGGTTGCAGATAATCTGGTTAGTTACATGGGTATGGGTCAAAATTAAACAGTCAGGATTTGGACCGCAGGTTTTAGTCTTTGTTTCCATTTACGGCAAGCCATTCTGGGGTTACCCTATTGTTGACAACCACAGCCATATAAAGCCCTTAGCTGGCGTTTGCTTGGTTCGTATCCCAACTTCCCAAGCCATTGGCAAAAGAAAAGCAGGTCCTTGTCTCGAGCCTTGGTCCTTTCATGGCGAGAGATGGCCATGGGTCTAAAGCTAAATGCCCCCAACATCCGATTCAATCCAACCACTAAAATAGCTTCGAAAAAGGGTGGTGAATGCACCTACCTGCCTCTCATGGCGAGATCTCGCGAGCCCTTCGGACTCCTGCGCCCGCCGACTGGGACTCCAGCCACTCCGCTTTTTCCTCGGCTGACTGCCGAGGATGCCTCGGTGCGGCTGGTGGTGCTCACCAACGAAGGCAACACCTTCTGCGCGGGCGCGAACCTAAAGGGGGGCTCGGAGGCCGGCCCTTGGTGCCCTTGCCCTAGACCCTGATCCCGTGCGCACCGGATCCGGGGTGTAGAACTACAGCCAGGGTTGGAGAGAAATTTTGGGACCCCCCGCTAGCCCCAAACCAGACGCCCCCCCTCCCAGCCCCAAACAAATGTACATAGAGAACCTTTCTTAGACTCCCTTGCAAAACCGTTCTGGCGACGGGGCGGGGGGGATCTTTTTTTTTTGCTGTCCTCCCCAGTTGCCATCACCCCATGCCGCGCATTGGTCCCTTGTGCAACCCGAGTACCCGGGACGCGGCGAGGCACCGCGCTACAGCCTGGTGGACATTTTCAACCTCATGCACCAGGGCAAGGCCGGGGCAGCCCAAAGAACCTGAGCCTTGTGAGCCTTGTGCGCTGTGCTCGGCGCAAGTACGCAAAGTTCCTCATAGGGGGACTCGGTGGGTTTCATATGTGGGTGGGAGGGTACATAAAGGGTACATGTTCATCCTGCTCCCACCTCCCAAACATAGAGGATCTGGATCCTTGCAATTAAACTGGCGGTGTGTACAGGTCATGGTTGCAAACCAACCCTGTTCCTCCGACCACCTATTTGATCGGTTCACCGTCACCAGCTGATTTAGAGGATCTGAATACGATTGACATGGAACCCTCAAAAGTTCCATTTGTAGAGGAAACTCCTTTCTGTGGCACCGGAACGCCCCCTTTTCCACGCGAATTTCTATCAGGATAGAGCTTGTGGCGTTAGATGTATGGGTTTTAACCTTTTGGGAGGTGGATTCTCCAATGGCTCCACAAATGAAGCACTTTTTGCAGAGGTGTCAGCCACCAAGGTGACCAAGGGAGCCACCCGATATAAAACCTGGAAGGAACATGGTGGATGACCAGTGGCTTGCCTGGGATCCACTGGGAGTTTCCACTCCCACTTGAGCCAGAGTGAAGCTGAATGTAGGGGAACCGCCCTTTAGTAAGGGATCCGCCCTGTAAACGGAACCATCCTTTAAACAGCGCCACCCTTCAAAACACTCTTTTTAAGGGCAGCAGAGGGAAGCAAAAGAGAAGCCGGCGGCTCAGGGCCCAGAAAATCTGGGGCCCACCGGGGCATCCGCCGGAGCGGCCGGATCGGCCGGATCGGGCGGATGGGAGGTTGGTGGTGTCCTTTTTAGGTGAGCGTGGGTAAAAAATAGATGGGCTCCCCTGGTCTGAAAATGGATTTGTGCAACCCATCTGTTTTTTCCGAAAGGCCACCTAACTTGTTCAATTTCTCAGATGGAAACTGATCGGTTTTCCGGAAAATGGCCCATGGCAGGTGGTGGTGGGCAAGATCCGGGGCCACTGCGCCGGGGGCGGCGTGGGCCTGGCGGCGGCCTGCGACATCTCGGTGATCAGCGCAGAGGCGCAGGCGGAGCCCGGCTCGCCCGGCTCTCCCCGCGTCCGTCGAGTGGGAAGAGGGGGGGAGGGGGGAGGGACAGAGGGCTGTCGTCCAGCTAGGTGCCAACTTTTACCCGTTTTTTTGGGAGGGTTTTTCTACAGACTACAGGAAAAAGGGTAATGTTAACATTGGGGGGGTTCACCCGGACTAATAAGGGGGGGATTACTAGTACGCTGTCAACATTACCCTTACCCTGCCGAGTCCGACAGTACTTCTTCAAATTGCCACTCAAACGGCGCCCGGCTTCAGTGGATGCATTTTTCTTGGTTCAAAAAGGAAGCCATTTGCCTTGTTGGGCCATGTTGGGGTTGGCCAAGGCGAAAGTCAACACCTCGAACGAACGAGCAGCCATCGGATGGCGAGGCCAGCGCCTTTCAGTTCCGCAAGTTGCGCGAGTCCATGGGGTGGAACTGGGAATGGAAAGTCAGGTGGTTGGGCAAAATCGGAGGTTTGGCGCTTTCTTGGCGCTCGGGCGTGTGAATCTTAGGTGACAACATTGGGACTCGCGAACACCATGAATCCAGGCAAACCCCGCGTGCCATGGATATAGGGTCTACTTTCAGGACTCAAACCCTTTTTCTTGCTGGTTCTCAGCAATGGGTTGGAATGACCGCTCCCCATCCCCTACGGCTCCATTCCCAAAACGCTGGGTCATTCCCTAGCAAGACGGCCGGAGTCGACTGTCCACCCACCCCCCCCTCTGCCCCACAACTTGTCTGGATGTTGGGAATGACCCGGTTTTAGGGATTCCCTTCAAGGAATCCGTGCACAAGTTGGAGGACTGACCTTCCGGGATCTTTCGGGTGTTGGGAATGAACCGGGAGCAGATTCGGAATGACTAAACCCTCCAACTGGTGGTTTCCTTTAAGGGGACCCCTGGGTTTGCCTCTTTCCCTACTGAGCACCGGCAAGTCTTGGATCATGAGTAGGGGGCAGGCGCGTTGAAGAGTGAGCCAGGCCGCAACACCAACAAAGTTTGGTGCTTGGGACCCCCCAAAACAATCGAACTCGCCGAGTTCGGTTGGATTTCTGGCCTCGGTTGGTGGAGCCATTTCTCCTTAGCGTCAGGTGGGCTTTACGGAGGTCCGCATCGGAGTGGCGCCCGCGGTCATTTCCGCGCCTTGTTCGAACAATTTGGAGGGGCGCGGTGGGAGAACCTCCCCCAGAAGAACCTCGTTTTGAGAAACGCAAGTGGGGGGGGGCCAAGGAAAATGAGAGCTCCTTAAATTGGTGGAGCCCTTTGATTTGGGTTGGTATTCGAAAGGGGAACCAAAAGGAGACTGAACATTTTAGGAAATGGGATGGCTATGTTGAGAAACACCCAAGTGGGGCTAGGTGAAGTCGGTTTCGACTCTTGCGTTTGGTGTTGGGTTGGCTTAAACATGAATAACCACCAGAAAAGAGCTTGCTGTTTTTACAAGCTTATTTGCTTACAGCGGAGCGGCCTGTTCCAGATGTTCTTAAGTTGGTAGTGTTGTTTCGTCCGTGGCAACCCGAGAGGGGAATCACCCTTTGAGTGAGCCAGACGCTGGCAAATCTTAGCTGCAGAAGCAGCCGTGGGCGAGCCCGGACAAAACCTTGCAACCTGGTTTTGGCATTGTATCAACCACTCCGAAATGTCCGATACCAGCTTTCGCAAGGGTAAAGTCCCTGGGCTTTCCACGGATGAAGAGTCACTTCATGTTGACCCCCTGATGAGTAAAACCGGGGGGCTTCCTAGAAAAAAAAGGAACCCCGCGCAAGAAAGGGGGACCCGCTGAAGATGATTTTTTGGGGGGGTCTCAATCAGGGACCAACACAGAAAGCCACGGGTAAAGTCCCTAGGCTTTCCACAGGTGAAGAGTCACTTCAGCCAGGGGTCAACTTTCCATGGCTTCTTAGGTGGTGCGAATTGGATTTCATCCATCCACAGGCCTAGAACGCCACCCAAGGGAGCGTGCCTCCCGAGGTGGTGTGCCTCCCAAAGCTCTCCCGGGCTGCTGCGGCCGAGCTGATGCTCTTGGGTGAGAAGGCGCCGGCGGGTCGGGGAGTCGGGGGGCGGATGAACCCCCTCCGCCGAATTTCCAGCATGGTACGGGGAACGCCCAAACTGGGGCTTTCTAGCTGGTGGTTGGAAGGGAGGAGCTGGTGTCCAAATGTGCCTTGAAAGAGGGAGCCACAAGCAGCTACGAGGACATGGTCGCTTCGACAAACCATAGGATCCCACGACACTCACACCGTGGGCGGAAACTCCCGCGAGTTTCATGGGAAGCCCCTTCGGCTCGCGCGTATTTTTACCGGGGGGGAATCTCCTCCTTCCGTCGCGTTTCTGCACGGTGCGAGAAGCGGCCGCAACCAGCCACATGGCGTAGGGAAGCGAGACAGCGGTTTCGCACCCAACCCCGGAAGGAAGGCTCCGCCAATACCCTCCCAGCCTTTTCGCACATGGGGCCCTGCGACGTTCTGGGACCCGGTCCCTTAAGGAAAGTGGTCCAAGCCAGGAGCCCCTGAAGATCAGGTTCCATGTTAGTTGGCGGGAGGGGAATGCTTCGATACGTTCAAACCAATTCTACACAGTACTGGGACAGTACACAAGCATGCGAAATCATACTAAGCGAATACTAAACAGTATTTACTGGAAGACTACTTAGGGAGGCCCCAGTTTGACTCCCATTTGTTTTTCGGTGTTTTTTCTCCGTTCCCCCCCCCCCCTTGGGGCGTCCTTGATGCTTTAAACTTGGGTTGGGAAAAACCAGAACCCCTCAGGCCCCTCCCCCTGTGATTTGCCCATGGACCAGGGCAAAACTCACTTCCTAAGTTCATGAACTTGAGAAACCTTTTGGGCTTCGACCATTTTGGTGGTAAATCTAAAGTTGGGTTGAAGTAACTTTTGGGCCATCCACTCAGCCAGCGAGAAAAAGAACAACGCGCCTGAAAATTTTGCGCCAGGTGCCGGCTGTGAGAGCGCAGCAGCTGGGGCTCTTCAACCTCTGCGTCCCTGCTGCGGAGCTGGATGCGCAGGTGGACCAAGTCGTTTCTTGGACCAAACGACTCAGCTGCTCAGTGGCTCCCTTCCTTTTTTTTGCGGCTGCCCCACTAAAAAGTTGTTTTCCCAAGCCCCAAAAAGGGCCCCCCTTTTTTCTCCAGGGTCACCGAACAGCTGAGTTTTTCAGCGAATTTTCGCAGGTTTTTGCCTTGAGGGCAAATGGCAGGGTTCCTGCATGTTCCTGCCCAAACTCGTGGGCTGAGCACCAGCGGTTTTCAGCCTGGGGTTCACCCGTTGCCGGAAAGCCATAGAGGCACCGGGGTGATCCTCGCGACCGAGCCGCAGTTTGGACTGCATCGAGGGCTCTTCCCGTTGCTAAGCCCAGGGTGCAGAACATGCCCAGGAAATGTGCGAGTCATGAAGCAAGATTCCCTTTTGACGTCCTTTTCTGTTGCAGAAAGCCCTGATAGAAGTGTGGAACCTGAAACACTTGCGGAGGGTTTCTTCGGGGTTTCCCTTGGGATTCCTGCGAAGCCACGCTCCGAAAACGCGGGCGATCCGCGATCCGCGGCCTGCCGCGCTTCGGCGGGCGCTTCGAGCGCTGGACGGGGCTTCCGGATCCGAGGTGGGCAAGCTGCTGCTGGGGGGGCCCGAGGCGCTCATGGCCACCAAGCCGCTGAAGCCCAGGTTTGGCAGATGTCTTCTTTTTTTTGTGTTGTGTGTGTTTTGGTCCGTTTGTTGTGCTTCTGTGATTTTGTTGTTTTGTTCCTCTTCTTCTTCTTTTTACGGGTCGTGTCCGCCGATTTTGGTTGGTTTCAGAAAAGACCCTCACATGGCTTTGGAGCTGTTTGGATGTGTGTTTTGCTTGTTTCAGGTAGCCCCGCACGTGGTTTGGATTGGGTGTTTGGATTTGGAGTTGAGCCCTGGCATGGTTTGGATCGTTTGGATTGGGTGTTTGGATTTGATCGATTTGGACTTGAGCTGGTTTTTGTAGCGGGTCAATCGGAGTCTGCCTGAACACCTCGGAGCCACCTGGAGGGAAGCTGCTTGTTTACCCGCTTTACCCTTGGGCGACCAGGCTTCTTGTTGCTCCCATTCTTCTTGATTATTTTTTGGGAGAAGCTTTTTCCTTTGGGCAAGGGTGACCCCTGTTTCATGTGGCCATCATCATGGAACTCACTTGCAACCCAAGTGAATCGACCTTTGAACCTCTGGGTGTTCCCATTTTGGCCCAGTTTTTGAGGTTTTCCCATCCTGGGATCCCAGTTTTTCGAGGTGCCCATGTTCCATTTTTGGTACAGGTCCCCAAAGGGCGACCTGCTATTTCCAGGTTGTTCTGCACAACTGAGCCTACGTTCCCCCTTTGCAGAATATGCATGGTTCATATGGGTGTGGCTCAAAATTCAAGAAACGGGGGTTACGCAGGTTTTAGTCTTTGGTTCCATGTACCAAGGTGCCGCTTTGGTACCTTTTGTTACTTTTGTTGAGCCACGGACATGTTGAAGATGACAGCCTCCCCGAGGGGAAAAAAAAACCGGCCTTTTGATGTCCAGGTTCCTGGAGGGAAGGATCTTCTGAGGTCCTTGGTCTACCGCGTTCCGGGCATGGCCTCTGACGCCTTCCAGTGGACCCAGGCCTCGGGGTAAAAAACACGTGGGGTTGAACCCAAAAGAGAGCGGAAAGCTGATGGACGAATCTTCGCACCACTTTGAAGCCAAGGGAAGCCATTGTTACCCCTGTTGCCTAGTCTTACTTGCCCAAAGCGAATCGACCTGAAATGACCTGTTGACGTTTTCTGGGTGTGGGATCCTATTTTTAGTCATGACCCCAAAAGGTGATCACCTTTTATTTCCAGGTCCCTAAGGGGCAAGTGAGTAGTGGATTTCGCTCCTTTTTCAACCTTTTGTGGGAAGGGTCCCCCTGCAAGCTCAACCCACCAAAAAAGGATGCCCTTTTTTCCCCACGGCCACTGGGCATCTGAGGTTAGTATCATCATCCAGCATGGTTCTTAGGTGCGAAATGGGCAGTCACATTTCCATGGAGCGGTTGCCCAATAGGGTTCCAAACACGTCCCTTCGAAGGTCCCGCGATCCATGCAGAGGTTGGATGGGTTGCGGAGGGTTGCTCAGTCAACTTCCAAAGGCTGCCCCTTTGTCTCCATATCCAATGGAGGTCGGGAGATTCACTTTAAAAACGTGTCCAAAGCCACCGCTATGTTTATTTGTCTGACCAATTTTGAAGTGAGGTTCCTGGTGATAAGGTGTGGAAAGGTGAAACCTTGCGGAATTTGCAGTGTACCTGAATTTTGGTGCTCGCAATTCTGGGTGCTTGTTGCAATTCCGCAGCTAGTTGGAAGAAACCTTATGTGGCTCCCTGGCAAGCAATGAGCAACAAGTTTAAAAGCCCTTGCGCAATACCAGTGAAGCATGCACCCGCTGACCTAGCCAAAAATGAAACGAGCTGACCTGGTGAAGCCGAGCCCATGATCAAGGTCCTTGATATTTCCTTCTTCCCAGTTTGTAAGGTAAACTCTTGACTGCTATTGGGCAACGGATCTTTAGACTTTAACTTTTTGGTGGAAATCAAGTTGGGTTTTTGTCCACTAATCCCGCGAAAAGTGGTCAACTTTTTGCAGGGGGTCGTTGAAGCAACCAAGAACTGGGGAGTAGTTCTTCCAGACCCTTGGCTTAGCCCAGTTCTTCAGTGGGCGGCTTGCACCCTTGAAATTTGTGTTCGCCTGTAAAGGGTTCCCCCTTTAAAGAGAGGGTACTTATGTGTATATGTGTATATATATTATATATTTATGTGTTTTGTTTTTTGTCTTGTTGGGTTCCCCCTTTAAAGAGAGGCTAGGTTTTCCGCTGGGGTTGCCGTTTGGCGAGGAGCTCTCTCTGAAGCTCTTCCGTGGCAAGGCCCGGGGGGCGCCATCAGTCCGTCAAACATGCTCTTCGTAGCTGACTCTACTGCTATTGGGAACTTTCAGAGGCATAGGTGTCCTTTTTGGTTGATTTGGTTGAAAATCGAGGGCGATTCCTGGTTTACCTGGTGGTTCAATCAACTACCAGGGAAATCTCTCTACTGCTATTTGGGTTGGATCTTTAGACTTTAACTTTTTGGATTCATATGTCCTTTTAACCTGCATTTGTTTTTTTGTTTTTCACTTTTTGCTGGCAGATGTACAGCGCCCAAGCTGAAAAGTGAAGCTTCGCCTTGCTGCTAATCTATAAAGTTGGGTGAAAGCAGATGGCATGATTCCCTCGTTTGGTTTAGTCACCTTTGTAAAGCCACACAAAAGGAGTTTTGCCATCTACTTTGGCTGGTGTGAAGTGAGTGTCCCTTTAAGTGATGTGGACGTATAAGGAACCATGTGCACCGCAACGTAGCAAAATCAGAGCCATCAACATGAACGCATTGTCATTACCCGCGCAAGCAGAGTAGTACATGAGGGCAGCTTGCTCTAGATACATGTCACCTTCAGCAGCTCTGGATGTTGCTGATGAGCTCAGAGGATTTGTTCGGCTTCCCGGCACCAAGATGGTTTGCCAGTCTTTTGTAAGAGCCTCAGGAAGGTGAGCCTCGCCCTTCGGATTCCGTACCGAACATTGCCAACTCAAGGCTCGTTCCGGCCTGTCCCTTGCTGATGCGACAAGTGGCGAATGAGAAATGGAATGAACCCAGGCTTTTGCCCCCCTTAAAAAAACAACCACAACCACCAGCAAGTTGTTTTTTCTTTAAAAAAAAAAAAAAAAAACATAAATAAATATATATATTGTTTTTTTTAAAAAAAAAAAAAAAAATATCTCGGGGTCATTCCATATCTGATTCCCTGCGTATAGCGCCAGCCAGCTTAACTAGGTCCCCCAGCAGTGCCCTTTCTCACCCAACTGTTTTTGGGGAGGGTTCCCCTACTAAAACAGACTGCAGCAAAAAGTTGGTACCCTTATTCTAACCTCTCTACTGGAGGACCTAGTAGAGAAGGCGATGGGCAGGGAAGGAGTTGCAATGACTTGACGAAAAACCATCCCTTGCTGGTGGTTTCCTGTAATCGGGGACCAAAGCCTAGGATTCCTAGGGAATGAGTTGACCCCGAGAAAAGCCATCCAACTGGTGGTTTCCTTTTAGTTAAGGGTTTGGGCCAATGAGCAATGGGTTCATTCCATTTCTTATGCATTCCCTGCAAATTTGCATCGCAAGCTTTTGGAAATGCCCTCTGGTCGATTTGGAAGCTCTCAGGACCCAAGGCCCCCAAAAAACGGGCTCCAACGCCCTCAGAATGGAATTGGGGGAGGGGGGATGTCGACCCCTGTAGATCTCCATTTATGGTGCCATTTTCCCTCTTGTGGGGAAGACTAAACAAATGGAATTGGGGAACCCCCCACCCCCTCCCCCTTAAGGTAAAAAAAACGGGTTACTCCCCCAAAAAATCCTCGTGAACCGCCAGGAGGCGGCCCAGGGCATCGCCGCCTTCGCGAAACGAGAGCCGGCGCCCTGGGCGCCCAAGGCGAAGTTGTGAGAGGCGGAGATGGGTCTCGGAGACGGAGACGGGTCTCGGCTTGGCGGTTTGGACGTGGATAAAATCCGGTTCCTTTTTTTGTTTCCTCTCTTTTTGTTTTAACATATTATTTGGTTGGAAGGTCGGATTTTTGTTGGTTCCTTGGTTTATTTTAGATCTGTTTTGGTTGGTTTCGAGGTTTGAGGCCTTTGGATAAGCCGGCTTTGGGGGGTTCCCCTGTCCAAAAGGTTTGATGTGATTTTTTGGGGCTTGGAGAAGGGCCCTTGGCCAACAAGCGCTTAAGTGTTTGTAGGGGCGAATTATGAAGGATTTGAACAGGGCCAGAGGGTACCTCGTTGATTCCTCCATATTTGACGCCCGCGAGCAATTACAGCTGCAACTTGTTCAGATGGACCTAACAACACCCTTGGAAAGTTCCAAGGGCGCAGGAGGGAGGGTCACCGGGTCGCCCTTTTCTTGAGGCTCCTTTGGCTTGGTTGTTACTGGGGAATCAAGAAGGGCCCTTCGGAAAGCACCTAGGATCCCAAAGAAGCCTCCTTCCTGACTCCCTGAGTGCCCGGACTTGAGTCACTTTTTTGGACCGGTTTATTCGCAAACAAGAAGTCGGGGATTGTTTTGTCAGTGATTCCTCCTGTGAGCAAAGGGGGTTGACTACGCCAGGCTGCCCCCGGAGCCGATTGGGCCCGGACGCGGCGCAAAAGAAGCGCCACGAGCGGTTTCGATTCGCGTGCCATGATCGCAACGCCGTTTCTTTTGTAGATAGGGGCGGTCATGTAGGGTTTATTTAGATGTGGGGAATTCGACGTCAGCACCTGGCTATTGAAGGCTTCACAATCATCTGCTGGCACATAGGGCGCCAAGAAGGAACACATGTACATTTCCCCCGCTGCTCTAAGGGATATACAACCTATGCGCTCCTCGGATGCCTCTGGCACGGTAGAGGCATGAAACGTTTCCTGCGCAGGGGGTAATACAAATTGGGTTTGGAGTCTGGGGACCTCGGAAAAGGCCTGCACATTTTGTGTAGGTCAAATGACACAGGCAGCTAACATGCACTTCTCCTTCGTCCATGGGTACTGGTACTGATTGGGGGCCTTGGTTCCTGTTTGCTCCGGGTTCCATGGAGCAAATAGATGGGGAGAGTCGCATTAGATCTTTCAATTTCTGTGGAAACACACACGCACACACCAATGTCCACGTTGACCAACCTGGGGGTAACATGAATTTCCGCAGCTCTGATTGGGATTGACTGAGGGACCCACAATCCAAATCTCACCACAGCTTCCATCTGTCACGAAGCACGGGATAGGTGGTTTCCTGTGTGTCAGGCAGCTCGTGCAGAGGCGGGCGAGTGTTTACTTTGCTGCGTGTCGCATGTTGGGTGCAACATGGAACATGTGTGTCACGTTTTCCATATGAGGCCACAATGAGAGGGACAACTGTGCAAGCTCCCCCGACTCCCTCAAGAAATTTGTTGTTGCTCGGCCACAATGGGAGGGACAACTGTGCAAGCTCCCCCGGCTCCCTCAAGAAATTAGCTGTTTCTCCGGCTAGAACGAAAGTCTTCAAAGGTCTTTCAGTCAGGTTCCATGTCAGTTGGTCGATGTTGGTTCCAGGGCACGATGACCCCTCCAAGAATTGAAAGCCGAGTTTGGCCGCATGACGCTTATAAACCTTTGGGCGGAGGTTTGACCATGAAATCTTCTTCGACTGTGTATTCCAACCCCTTGAGGCAAAGTTTTGGAGGCAGGGGGCGGCCACCCAGGAAAGTCACCTCCTGAGCTCATGGGCATTGTTTGTGTTTGTTTTGTTGGGAAAGACCGTTTTATAGGGGTAAATCAAACGGTTTGGTTACTTTTTGTTGGCCCAACCGCTCAAAAAGTGGGAGAACCCGACCTCGTGCAAGAAGTGGAGGCGGGCCGCTGGCGTGAGCTCGCCGAGCAGCGAGGGCAGGAGAGAGGGTTTCTGGCGCTTTCGGGTGGGTTGTGCCTATAGACAGAGGCGGGGTCCAAGTAATGCCAGTGGATTTCAGTCCTCGCAGAATAGCAGGTGTTGGGGACGTGTTGGGTTAAACAGAAGGGTTAAACAGAAGGGTTCAACAGAAGAGCAATGTAAGTAGCGGTTTTATTTAACAACACACACACACACCAGTTCCGTTTGGTTTTTGAAGCACGGTTCCATTGGCTCGCTACTAGGAAAGCGGGACTCCGAATTGACAGGTTTCGCAAAAGCTCCGGGGGAAATGTCTTGCAAATGTGAGGTACATGGATGGGATTCTGGAGTATGGATGCCGGCTTGAAAGAGCTGATGGCTGGCGCGTGAACCTGTAGGCTGCAAGCTTCTGCTTTTGGGCTCAGAGGTGGTACAAAACAGCACTCGCACCTTGAATTGGTTCTGTGTTCTAGGGCTTGACTCCCCATTCTTTTCAACCATCGTTCTTTCAATAGCCAGCTGTTTCCCCACGGTTTTTGGGTGTTTCTGGAAAGAAGGATGCCTGAACAGTATGGGCAAGGTACCCCTAGATGTGTGGGAACAAGCGGGGGTATCAGAATTGCGGGTCGATCCCTGCTTTGACCAAAACAGCTCAACGTGTTTTCCAGCCCTGCTCCATTGTCACTTGCCGAATGTGTATGCAACTGCGTCCGCCGGTTTCATGGTGACCCTCGGAATGCCATGGATTTCATTGCTTCAGCCGCCTTAAACTCCAAACCACCTTCCTCTACAAGTAAGGTCCGGCAGAGCCGGGGGGCGGATTTTTTAAAACTTTCAAAACTATAGTTCTCTTTCTCTTTCTTTTCTCGACTCGTTTTCTCTTCTTCTTCCTTTCCATTGTTTCTTTTTCTCCGTCATTCTTCCTTTCTTCCTTTCTTCCTTCCTTTCCTTCCTCCCTTCTTTCCTTCTTTCTATCTGTCTTTTCTTTCTTTCTTTTGTTTGCTTGTCTTTGTGCTGCTCTTTCTGTTGTCCCTTCTCTGTCTATCTGTCTATGGGCCCCTTCGATTGGGAGTCTATCATCTGTCGATTTACAAGCCCAGGGCCCGGAGCGGCTCCACCATCGAATTCGATTTTCTCGCCTTCGGCGAGTCCTTTTCTGGTTACTCACCTACAAATCAGCCACCGAAAAAAGCAGACCCAACAAATCCAGCCCTAGCAAACAAGCAAACCAGACCCCAAAGCGCAAGGCTGACCTTTCAACTTGTTTTTTGGGCAGCGCGTGTTCATGGTTGTTGTTGGGACACATTTTTCCCATTTTTCTGCTCATTGTGGTTTAGAGGTTGAAACCCAAATCCACTGAACTGCTAAGATTTGAGAATTTTTGTTCCCCTTCCAACGTCAACCAAGATAAATCCAAGTTGCCGATTGATTTGGGTTTGACTTTGCTTTCGTTTGATTGGCATCAATCGATCGCTGCAGTGCTTTTTTTCCCGACCTCCAAGGTGTTTTTTGTTGCTGTGGTTACCTCCGAATTCGCTCTCCGCTAGGAGCTGGCAGTCCGAACCTCGGAAAAGGGTGCTAAAGCCAAGGGAAGTACCTTGGCTTGGTTCTCTTGGCCTCCCTCAATGGCCAAGGTTTAGCAACCAAAACCTGCTCAGGGTCCCTCACTTCATCTCACTTCCTTTCTTTTGGACCTCGCACAGGATGCACGCAGGGAGTCAAGAATCACATATATTTTTCCAGCTGAGGCAGATCAACCGGGCTTTGAACACTTGGAAGCAACAAGAGCCTTTTGAGATCTTCTGAGAGCGTCTCGAATCATGTTGAATCCTCGCTTCCTTTGAACCACCATCTGGCCCGGATTTGATGATATTTGAAAGTTGGGTGAAAGCACAGCACAATTGCCCCATGTGGGAGTAGTCATTGCCATTTCATGCCCGCAGAGAGGGAATTGTCTACTTTCACCCTGGTGTGCTAAAATGGCCCGTGCAGCTGCACGACTGAGTGGTTTTCCTTCCGAACTGTCAGACGGGGGTTGGTAGGAGAGTGGGTTAGTGATGTTCGCCATGAACAAGAGCATTCCGATACCACAAACATACCAAAACGCAGAAAGGCTGCGGCTTTCTGCCACAAAACCTCCTGCCCATCGCCTATCCGCACGCGGGCTGCACTGCACCCCCTATGACCCCAGCCCCCCCCAATACAGCGAGGAGCTGCGGGCACAGTTGGCGCAGGCCAAGCAGGAGCGGAGTTCTTCGGTCGCTTTGCTGTTCGTTGCGGAAAAGTTGCGCCCCGAGGATTTTAGTCGCTGGACTTCTTACTTGGGATCCTGACTCTTTCCAATGCCCGCACCCATTTTGAACCAGGTTGCGCTGCACCGCCAGGTTGCGCTGCAAAAGAGGATGCGCTTCTGCCCAACAGACCTGGGAAAGCTGTTTGACAGGGTGTCTGAAAGTTTCCGAACTTCTGGACAATTTGGCGGGGACGGTTTCTGGACGTGACGCGCACTTCGCTCATTTTGAAAGTCTCTTGAGAAAGCAACCGTTTGCCCGAGAGCCTCTGAGTTCCTTGAAAGCCCGAGGAGATCCTTCAACTGGTGGAAGAAACACTCTAACTGAAATTTGCATCCTGATTCACATGGCAAGGGGAGCCACTAGTGAGCATAGTCCACTGCAGCCGTGGGAGTTGGCTTTGCAGATTCTGGGACCGGGTTGGGGAGCTTTCTGTGGAGGACCCTGCACTGCGCTCCATGCAAACTGAGCAGACCTCTCCACAGGCAGGGATCTTCGGATCGGGAGCGGTGAAAGCGAATTGAGAGTTGATACCATCCAACTGCAACCAATCTTGCTGGTTCTTCGTATCAAAGGGACCAAGCGCGGACCCAGAAAGGCGGACCCGCATGATATCATGCCCAATGATGGGCTTGATGACTTGGAGAAGCCATATATGTATAATATATATATATATATACCTAGAGATGCGTTGCGGCAGAAATTTCTGCCGCAATTCAAAAAAAAGCGCCTTTTTAGATTTGCGGCATTTCTTCCTCATTTGCGGCGTTTTTTTAGAATTGCGGCAGAACTTGTTTTCAGTTTTTTCTACCCCCCGATTTGCGGCGGAAATCGGCGGGAATGCGGCGGAAATCGGCGGGAATGCGGCGGAAATTCCCGGACAGCAAGCAGTGTTGCGGCGTTTTTGTTTTGGTTGCGGCGTTTTTCTTTGTTTGCGGCTGATTTTCTGGAACCCAGCGGGAATTTCCGCCGCAATGCGTTGCGGCAGAAATTTCCGCCGCAGGAAGTTCTAGGTATATAGATTTATATTTATAATATAATATATATATATATATATTCAGCAAATAACAGGTCCACAGCAGCCTGGGTCCGTCCCAGGCCGGCGTGTCCCACGGCGTGCCATGTTGAAAGCTGCTAAGGGGCGGGACTTGGATTGCGTCCGAGTCCCGTGGGTCTCAACTTGTTCCATGTTCGTTTGGGGGGGGAAAGGGGGTTACCTTCCAAAGCGAATCGACCTTTTGACCTTTTAGTTCTTTTTTTTTGCGTTTGGGATCCTATTTTTGGTCATGACCCCAAAAGGTTAACCTTTTATTTCCTAAGGGGCAAGTGAGTTACTGCACCACCTTGCAGGCAGGCTTCTAAAAGGGACTCCACTCGCAGGTGTCCCGATTCTGTAAGACATGTTTAGGGGAAAAAACTGTCTATGAAACAGTCTTGGGATCCGAGATTTTGGTGCGGCCTTTTCTTTGATTCCGCTCGATTTGGGTCTGTGGTCTTGGAGGCTCGGTGACCTTTTGGGGGTTTGTTCAAAGGGAAACAGAAACAAAAGGACGACCAAAATCCATTTTTAGGATCCTCCTATTTTCAGACACGCCCAATTCTCACAAAGCAAGCTTCTTGGTGTTTTTTTTGTTTAGAGTCTTCGGGCTCATGATTGGGAAGCGGTAGGTAGCAGGGGATGGCAGCTCCTGGAATGCACCAGAAAGCCCTACATGGAATTCCACTGAAGATGTGGCGGTTGAAGCAGTTGACATGTTGAAATGGGTGGGTGCTTTGGTGTTTCTATGGGTGGGGAACCCCATCCTTGTAAGAACCAGAGGATCAAATCCAGCTTCAAGCCGCCAATCCGAACCAAGTGAGGGTTGCCTGATGTTGTCTTTCCCGTGGTGTTTTTTGTTGACTGCAAAAGGCTTGGCTGCGTCGATTTGTATAGCCAGGTGAAGGTGCGGGTGCGCTTGCCCAAGGCGCCGCTCTCCAGATGGACACCTCCAGATCAACTTTGGTATGGCGGCCCTACCAAGAATGGCTGTGGGTCAAAACCCTGTACGCCTGGTGACATCAAAATAGGTGGTACATGGGCACATGGGTGTTCAGCCGCCCCAAAATGGAGGCATAGGTTACGACCCATGGCCAAATGGAGCCACAAGTTGTGCGCCAATTACTGTTCGCGGAATTATGCATGGTTTGCTTAGCTGAGCATGGAACCCAAACACCCACCATGTTTAGGATCGCCGTCTCCCTTAGGGGACCCATTCTATGTTAAGGGGCGTATGTGCGATTTGTTTTAAATTGAAGGCTTCTCTCTTCTCGCAACACCTAGTCGTAGCCGGAGTTCGAGCTCTAGATCGGTTTCTTGTCTACGGTGCCAGCCTGAGCCCCTCTGGTTGAGTCAGGGTAGCGGGGAGGCAATGTGTTGGTTCTTTCCCCGACACACACACACACCAATCTCCGCGTTGACCAACCTGGGCATGAGTTTCGGCAAGTTTTGATTGGGATTGACTGAGGGGCCCACAATGGGCCCAACCAATTACTGCTGTTTCTGTCCGCGCTCCATTGCCACTTGTCTTTTGCACTTTGGCTCCTTGCCCCTGTTATCCTCACTTCGGAATGTTGCAGAATTTTTGCCGCACTCTGTTCACTCTGTTCGCTGCTGTTCTTTGCGGCGTTCTCCGCACCCTTTTTTCTTCTTTTGCGAGGGATCTGTTAGTGTCTACCCTCAAAAAAACATACCCTTACCGCCTGAGTTCATGGACCTAGTACTTTTTGGGAAGTTCATTTTAGTGGCACACAAAAGTTCGGCCAAATCGCGAGGGTGCGAATGACTTGCTTGCATCCCTGCAGCCAAGGGTTCCACTTCTGGTTTGCGTTGGGGGGGGTCCCCTTGCAAATCAACAAAAACATCAAAAGGGGATCTCTTCTTTTGAAGACCCTTGAGCAAGTACGTCCTTGGAAGGAGCAAGCAGGAAGGGCCAGAATCACATTCACATCTCTATTGCTCATTTAATTTGACAACTGTTGCTCAGAATGCCAACCTCCCACCAATCCGGAAGGCCATACCAATCCAGGGGTGGTTTTCAGAACAGGCGGTTGACTGGTTTTGGCCTGAGTTTCATTTCGTAGTCCTTGGTTTCGTTTCAGGTCGCCGGGGCTCGGATTGTTTTAGCGCCTTGCTCTTGCATTAAGCTCCCAGCTCGCGGACCAAAGTCTTCTGGGCGTGGCTTCGGCGGACGCGTTGCCCGGCAGCGAGGCCACCCAGTACTTCGACATCGCCTCACCTCAGGACCTTGAAGTTGACCGTTTTGAGGCTTCCCCCGCGGTGGGCGGACGAAATCCATTTCGCACCACCCAAGAGACCCTGGAAGGATTCGATTCCCCTGCAAATACCAACAAGCAATGGCTTCAACCATGGTTCCAAGTGGCGCAGGATTTCGGCCATCCACAGTATGTCCCCCCCCATTTCAGAATCCGCATGATTCAGGAATGAAAAGAACATGACACCCACCGTTGCCACGAATCATTGCAACGAGCGATGCTATCAGAATCATTTCCGGGTCGTGGGGTGTCGCCGAGCGCCCAAAACCGATTCATAGGTTGCTGTGGGAGGTTCTAATCGGTTTAAACCTGCAGACTGCCTTACGGCACTAACAGAACGCGCCTCAGAAGGATAATCCTGGGTTTTCTTTGGAAGAGGTGATGATCCCACCTCATAAACCTTGCACTCTGCAGAGTCGATTCGCTGAACTCGAATGAAGGGGACCCGGGTTCCAACAGACGGGCTCCGATCGCTTGCGGAGGCCTTACTGCCCCTAGAAAGCCAGATAGCCTATTAGGCCTGGTAGCCTGCAAATAGATGGCAACTCATCTTCATCCAAGGATCCAACCCCCCCCCCAAAAAAAAAGAGAGGCCCTAGCATGCCCTAGCCATTTAAAAGGCCGTCGCTGAAATCGCTCCATTGGGACTGGGGCGGGGGGGATCCTGGGGAGCCCTTGGCAAGCCTTAGGCGTTGAAGCTGCTTCGATGCGCGTTTCGATCTAAGGGTGTTTGTATTACACCCTGGGAATACACCCACTGGGTATTGACCATTTAGGCACATGTCTGGATAAAACCGTGAACCATTCTTGTTCCCCCCCTTGGTGGAATCCCAGGGTGTAATACAACAACTTTCAGAGTCGAGGATCCAACGAAGCAGAGCCCCAGAGATTTGCGAGGAGGCGACTCCCGGCTTGGCTCGGGGGATGGATCCGTGCGGAAAAAATGTTCGCTGTTTTTCTCTTGGTGGCTCCCAGCCATCCGGTTGCTTAGCCCTTTTAGCTTCTTAAGTCTTAGTGTTTAGTGGTAGTTCCCATTTCACCCGCTAAAAGATAAACTGAGGGCAGGCCAGTTCTTTCTGCCAAGAAAACGGAGCTCTAGGAATCTTGAACCTTTTCTCCAAGAGTCTTGCTTGGGGCCTCAAAAAGCTGAGGTTCATACCCTTATGGAGATGCTCTTACGCTGTCCCAGTGGAGGGTCCCATGATTCGCGGGTTTTGAACTTGGACGTTTACCAAATGTGGACCATGAGCAAAGTCTTATGATAATTCTTGACTGCTATTGGGTTGGATCTTTAGACTTTAACTTTTTGGGGAAATGACGGTGTTTTCTGCTGAGCCACCAAAAAAAACAACTTTTTGCAGGGGGGGTCGTTGCAGCCACCAAGAGTTCGGCAAGAGCTGAGGTGGCGTTCCTTGTGTGAGAAGAGGGTTACTTTGAACCTTGTGCAGCGGATGCACATCTTGATGAAATGCAAGAGTCATGGTTGTTGTTGGGAAGCATTTTACATTTTTGCTTATTGTGGTTTAGTGGGAATTCCCCACTTAACTGCCAAAAAATAATTTGTTGCTCCCCTTCCAGCGTCAACCAAGGAGTTTTGCGAGGGCCACCGGGCAAGTGGGAGGGCAGGCAAGCCGATCTGGGGAATGATTCTGTGCAGGTCAGTGGTCGGGTCACCAACGGCAATTCCGGGCCGGTCGTTTCTGGTTGTGGAGTGAACCTAATTTGGTTGAACCCACCCTACTTCCAGTGACATCAGTGACCTGTCAAGCCACGAAACCAACCGCCTGCCACCGCAGCTTTTGAATCAGGCCGGAGCGGGCCCTCGTCTGCCGTATAAAGCCGTCCTGCAATCTTAGCGCTTACCATGTTCCTCATGTGGCTGTGCCTTGTTTCAAGGCAGTGCTGGGATCCGGGGATGAAATAGCTCAGGTTCGCTTTTTGTTGGCGGTCAACATTGCAATTTGATGTGCTTTGGTTAACCCTTTGGAATCCAGTAAAACAGAGCAATTCAGTTCAAGGGTTCGGGTCCGTAACCACAGATACACGAATCCGAATCCCATTCATACCTTGCTTTGTTCAGTCCAACCCCTGTACATCCCTTCTGAAAACATCGAGGAGAGGGGGTGACCTGTGGCGATCTCCATTTGCATTGAAGTTTTCCTGTCCAACTCTCTGGCTGGCTTGGACTGGTGGCTTAGGGATTTGAACCCCGGGCTCTTGTGGAGAAACGGGCCAGCATCCCAGGCCGCCTCCGAACCATGCAAACCAGCAATTGGATTCATTTTGGGTTGATATGGCCCCGTCAGCTTTTAGGGGGCATTTTTCTAGCTTGCTTTCAGGGTGACGTTATTCAGGGCGATTTCTCAGCATCAGGGACCTCTTTCAGGCGGTTGGTTTCCCCTCAAGTCCCCTTATCCAATCAGGTTACGCCTTGGAGGGAAACTGACCTCACTGTTGCCATGTCGTTTGGGGTTTCAGGTTCGTGTTCGGTGCATTTTTCGGTAGGGGGTTGGAAACAACATGTTTCATTTGTGTTTTGCTACCATGCCAAGGGTTGGAGCGTGTTTTTTTTGGCTACCAGACCGTTTGGGCTGGAAAGCCGTGGTTCCACCCGCCGAGGCCCCTTTTGGTGTCCGCCGTGGCGCAGTTGCCCCCGGCGGACCTGCCGATTCCGCCCATGCCCTCCGAGGCGCGAGGCGAGACGAAACTAATGTTGACCCTGGATGAATAAACCCCTGAGTTTAATATGGAAGTGGGGTGCGGGCCCCTCCAAAAGTGGTCTGAATCCCCACTAAAACCAGGGACCCCCCATTTCAATAAACAGGGGTTTATGAATCCGGGGTCAACATTCAGCCGGCGAACCCAGTGTCTTCAACCACAATTGGTTTGGCTTGTTCCTTGGGCACCCCTTGACCCCTTCTATGTCTCTTGAAACCTTTGGTTCCCCCCCCCAAAAAAAACAAAAAGAAAAAAGAAAAGACAAGAACCAACAAAAAAACGAAAAAGGGCAAAAACACACCCGGCAGAATCCCAGGCGAGTGTAATCCTCAAAATTGCACTGGTTTTGGTTGGGGCGGCTCAAAGGGAACCACCAAATCCATAATCTTGAAATTGACACCAACCCACAAAAGTGATACATGTGAAAGGCACCCCCCCCAAAACAAAAAAAGTCACGTTGAGAACCCGCATGAAACCTCACAAAGTACGGATCCACTTGATTTTAGTTGTAGTTTGCTTTGTTTTTCTCGATTCTTTGGAAGTTAGCTTTCATCACCTCAGTGCCCTTGCTGCATTCAAATGAGGCCGCCGCAGGCCAGTGGCACCCTTTCCGCCTGGGCAAAAAAGGAGACACGAACCAGGCTCGAGCTTCAATACAGGATGCCGAGGAGAGGTATTTTCACTCGACAGTCGCTGGAGCTTCCATTTTGTCAAAGGGGAGTTCCCTCCGAATTTGCTGGTTTTCCACCTTCAAGGTATGAACCAAAGCTTTCTGCTGGTTTCCTTTTAAAGCCCACAGTTGGGACCATTAAGAAGCACATTCCCGTCGGAGCCGGGCGCGTTTTTTTTTTTTTTTGAGGCGATCATCGGCCCGACGTTGAAGGACTCAAAGAACTGCTGGCCCAAGGCGTGCGCGCGAGTTGGGCGGGTTGGAGGGTTGGAGTCTGCATGACCCATAAAAATTGGGTCAACGCCCCCATGAGTT